TGAGTTCCAGGACAGCTAGAGATAATAACAGAGAAACCCTGTCTCAGAAAACAACAAACACACACATACACACACCTAGATTAAAGGAAAATATTGGCCTAGTATGAGCAATGACAGTTAAGTAGGTAGGAAAGATTAGGTAGAAGTGACGTAGAATTTTATGTGAAAGAAAAATAAAGGATATTCAGGGAACCTGCTAGTAATTTGGGCTCTTCCCCTAAAGATAATGGGAATGGTTAGATGAAATCCTGAAACATATTTTACAGTTAGCAGCTGCTGAGAAGTTCAGAGTTCAAGGTGAAGCTGTTTCAAACATTCAAGAAAATACTCAGACTCCGACAGTACAAGAGGAGAGTGAGGAGGAAGAGGTTGATGAGACAGGTGTGGAAGTTAAGGACATAGAATTGGTCATGTCACAGGCGAATGTGTCCAGAGCCTTTTCCGAGCCCTGAAAAACAACAGTAATGATATTGTAAATGCTATTATGGAATTAACAATGTAACTATTTGACGGAGAGGACACTCCCCATCCTCTCCCCCCTTTTTGGTGTTTCAAAGGTGGAACTGCAGCTTGGTTCGAAATTTGTACTGTTTTTATCACTAGTAAAGTTATGGCTTCTTGTTGGATGAAAAAAAAATTAGAACATAAAAGTGTTAGTAATACAGAATTGGATGGGAAGGCTCAACGAAGCCTGAATCTGGAGAAGATAAGCCAAGATTCCCAGTCTGTAATACTAATCCAGAAGAGTTAGTTGGATGAAGAATGGAGCTAAGAAGGAGTACCAGGCCAGTGAAGTATGGTCGAATTTGATACACTACTTTTGTGAAGCCTGGACTTACATCAGTGAAGTGGCTTAGAAAATCTAAAGCTTTAAACTTGTGTTAAGATGATCACAAACTGTTATTGTCTCTTTTTCCCTATCAGCAACAAACTTAAGACCTCAAACTACTTATTTTACTCCCCCCAACTTTGTTTGCTTATTTACTTGTGTGTGTGAGTGCGCACACGCATGCAAAAGTGTATGTATGTGTTCATGCATGTAGAGGTTAGAGGAAAACTTGTGGGAGTTGATTCTTTCCAGCACTTGAATTTTAGGCAGATTTTCAGACCTTGATGGCAAGAATCCTTCCTTTTTGAGCCATCTTGCTGGCCCCTTTAGTTTAGTTTTCTAATTAAACCTGCCAAACCAGGGACTTCAAATACTAGAATTGCCATAGACTAAATCAAGTGTGCTATCACTAGGAAAGATGAGTACAAACTGTCTTTCAGATGTCAAAGTCAATTTCTGTAACTGAAATATAAAATAATGGTAACTTAGTGAAAATTTATAGTAAATGGGAGCAGACTAAGCTAAGATTCAGAAGCTATCTAATAAAAGATGAAAAATATAGAAGAGGAGAGAATGAGAGATAGTCTTTGGGATGAGAGTTTTCCAGATTGGTAAAGTATCAGTGTATATACAATTCTATCAATTCCCATGCAAAATAAATGCCTCTCCAATTGATTCTAAGATACTATTTTTCTCTCTCCCTCTGACTCTCTCCCTACCTCCTCCCTTTCTTTCAGGGAGCCTTGCCTCAGGCAACCCAGGCTCCTTGCTTAACAAACACTTTTCTCACACTGGTGGACTGCCTGCTGTGGGGAGATGGAATAGAAAATGTTTTTGGTTTATTTTTTGTTTTTAAAACATGGGGTCTTTATGTAGTCCTGGCTAGCTTTGAAGTTGCTATTTAGAGCAAGCTGGCCTCATACTCAGTGATCCCTCTGCCTCTTTCTCCTGAGTATTGGCTGTTAAAGGTGGTTGTCACCATGCAACCCTTAACTCCCTTTTTAGAGACAGGATATTGCTGTGTTGCTATAGCTGGCCATCCTCTTATCCCTGCCTTTCAAGTGCTGGGATTATAGGCAGGAGGTAACACGTGAAGCATTTTTTTTTTTTTTTTGGTAAATACTTAAAAAAAAAAGATTTATTTTGATTGTGTGTGTGTGTGTGTGTGTGTGTGTGTGTGTATGTTGCCTATGAAAGCCAAAAGAGGGCATTGGATTTTCTGAAACAAGAGTTACAGAAGGTTGTGAGCTGCCATGTAGGTGATGGGAATCAAGCCCCAGTTCTCTGAAGAGCAGCCAGTGCTTTTAAACACTGAGCCATGTCTTAACCCCTGTTTTGTTTTGCTCAAAAATACTTTAGCATGTCTAAATCTTTGTGAACCTTTGAATGATGACACCTTAAAAGATGGAAAATTTTACCTACATGAAAATTTCTTCTTGTAAAATCATGATATTTCGGGTCCAAAGCATTTTAGACTTGAAGACATCTGATGAAAAGAAATCCACCCTTTAAAACATAGTAAACCAAGTATAGTGATGTGTACCTGTGTTCTTCACACTCAGGAGGCATAAGCGTGAAGTTTAAAAAAACAAAAACCATAAACTCAAACAATAAATAGTAATGAAACTGAAAAATGTAGTCTTTAAAGCATCAAAATGTATATTACTTTCAAAAAAATAAAAGTATATTGCATATTCTAAAGAAGATCGGATGTCTCATTAATAGCTTTAAAAGTGATTATTAGACTTATACTTTAGTGACTTGAAGAGAAGAAAAAAATCCTTGCCCATGTTCATGGAACATGTTCATAAATAGTGTGTTAGTGAATAGGTAGTTGATCTGGGAGCAACACAAGTTTGAAGTGTGTAGGTTTGCTTTGATATTTTCCCCAATGATTAACAATAAATTGAATACCGCACAAAGTTTAGAACTGTGAAAAAATTAGTTAGCTTTGTCATAAATTCATAGAATAATAGAAGTTATATTTTATCAAAAATTGTACACAGACCTTACAGGGAGTCATTTGTAGTGGAAAGAAATGTGAAGAGGCATTATTCAACTGTAGTTGTGTGTACGTACATACATACATACACACATATAGTATATATGTGGACCATCTAAGTGCCCTTCAGTATAGGGTTTATTCAGTATATTACAGTATTTACATACAAAGATGAAACACTGTGCTGATATGTATTGATTGACAAATGTCTGCTAAATATTGTTTAGTGAAGAAATGAGTGCTGTATGTACACAAAGAGTATGGTACACTATTGATATATCTATGTGGCTGTGTATGCATGAAATGTTGTCTAGAATGTTAACTAAAGTATGGAGAGTCCACCAATTCCATGTTGTAATTTAGGGTAGCCAAAGTTTGTTTTTATTAACATCATTTTTCTTTTTAGGAAAGGATGTTTTAGGAAATTTGTGTTTAGTGTATTCTTTCTCCTTTTATATAAAATTTGAACTTATGTTTCTCAGGTAAAATTTATAAGACAAAACATTTTTGATTTTGCTGGATTTTTTTCTCATTATCTGAATCACATTGTTTTAGGTGTCAGTAATTCGCATAATGTGTATTTACGTGAATTACTGACAACTTTAAATTTACTAGTTTCCTTTATAGCATGTTGACATTTTGATTGATGGTTTGAATATTTCTTGATAAATACTATAGTTAAAATACTTAAAAAGATACTTATTAATCTTAGAAGAGTCATAATATGATTTGTTCTTGGATGAGTGAATTTTCTATAGAAACATCTATTTCTATACTTTTCATAAATGCTTAAGAAAACCTTCATTAAGAAATACTGGAAACCTGGATTGGTGAGATCACTCAGCAAATAAAGGTGCTTGCTGCCAAGTTGGAATACCTAAATTAGATGCCCTAGGACCCACATGGTAAAATGAGAGAACTGACTCTACAAGCCCCCCCCCCCCCCAATAAACACTCATGTAATTAAGGAATTTAAAAAATACTGGAAATCTTGGTTGAGATGTCTCAATGGGTAGTGCCTGGTGAGCATCAGTACCTGAGTTCAGATCCTCAGTATCTACATTGAAAGAACAAGAACTTGGGTGTGATGATGCATATCTATAACCATAGTGCTAGTAGGCAGAGACTGATATCCCTGAAGCTTGCTCTCCAGTCTGTACAGCCGAAATGGTAAGCTCCAGGTTCAGTAAGAAATTCTGTCTCAAAAAACAAAGCAGAAAGCAAACAATAACCAAAGTTTACCTTTGGCCTACACACACATTCAGGAGCTTGCACGCTTAACAAACATAATAGTAATTTCAGCCTTGGGTAAAGCTAAAAACATAATTGAGCATATTCTTTATTAATATTTTTATTTACATCTTGTTTTCCTTTTTAAATACTAAGATATTTCAGGCCGTGTGTAGTGGTACATGCCTTTAATTCCAGCACGTGGGAGGCAGAGGCAGGAGAATCTGTGAGTTCCAGCAAGAGCTACATAGTGGGGCTTTGTCTTGGAAAAAAAAAAAAAAAAAACCAAAAAGATATTTCAGAGGACTGGGGACCACGACTCATTTGGGAAACATTTTCCTTGGCATTTACCATTATAATCCACCAAGTAGTTCACCATTTGCTCTATAGGCATATAATTTATGTGATGTAATTGTTTTAAGATACACTGTTTCATTTCTTCTCCTTTCTCAGTATGTTAAAGAAATAATTCAGAGGAATTTGTGGAAAGCAAGTATTGTTTACAGTGAGACATATAATCATTGCCTCTTATAAACTAGTTTAAAATTATTACTAAAGTAAATTTCATTTGTATAAAATACAGCCTAATTTTAAAATAGCATTACTCTTCACAGGTAATAGTGACTGTAGCCCAGCTTTTATTCTAAAATTTTAGTTACAGTTGTGTTAAATGCTAATTGCTTAACCTTTCAAAGTGCCTACTTAAAAACAAAGTTAAAAGAAAAGCCAAAAGTCAACCTCACACGCACATCCTCTGTTTGCTGTCATTTAGCCATTTTCCTGTCTTGACCAGAATGGGTTTGATCTTGGTTTATTTTAGTTTAGTTCATTGATCTTTCCTTACAGGAAGTCAGGTTTTTTTTTTTTTTTTTTTTTTTTTGAGAGCTCTTTAATTGTGCTATTTGCTGGGCTCTCATCCTTTCTGTTTAAATAATGCAGGTACTTTGATGGAAACCTGGAGAAGCTCTTTGCTGAGTGTCATGTAATTAATCCAAGTAAAAAGTCTCGAACACGCCAGATGAATACAAGGTCATCAGCACAGGATATGCCTTGTCAGATCTGCTACTTGAACTACCCTAACTCGGTGAGTACCTGGTAGTTTAAGGCTAGCACTATGTCAGAGGGTAAATCAACTTCCATTACTTAAACAAAGGACAGTCTGAAAGCCTGGGACCAGTAACTATTTCTGTAGCCCATTAGTAGGTTTAAGAATAAGGAAAGGAAAAGGAATGTCCTAGTTCTCTTCCCGTTCCTGTACTGTTTGTTTTTCAGACTTTTCCAAGTTGTCATTGATTCTTTCTGGAGTTTATTTTACCACCATTTGGAGACTGTGTAATAAATAGATCAACAGTATATAAATGGTTTTTATACAGCTTAAAATACATTCAAAATTTATTGTTTCAAATAGTCAAAATCCTTATACATTTTTTAGAGTACTTTCAGGACTTCATATTCCTCACTATATTAATCTAGTCTGATATAGATTCTTAAAAATGGCAAGTGGGGGTAGAATTAGAACAGAATAGAACCAAATAATAGGTATTTCTTTTTAAAATGTCAAAGGTTTATTGAGTAACTATAGGAAAATTATGTTTGTAGTGTAAAGATGTTCAGTTGCTTGGAATTGAACTTTGAATTTAATAATTATGACCATCAGCATGACATTTAATAGACCGATTTTCTTGTAGTTGAGTGGTTATCAGGTGTTTTCTGTTGAAGATTTCTCATTGTTAGTGTTAGAATTTTAGATGTCTCTCTAAAGGAGTTTATTTGAAAGGAGCTAACTTGTTGAAACGATCAGTTATTCTTTAAAGTTAGCAAAAAAGAGTGATCAGTGAACTACTTTAGTAGGAAAAGTGTGGAACTACATTTCTGAATTGTCAAGTTCTAGCTGTGGCTTAAACTGAAAGTTTTTCTTTGGAAGTGATCTATCAGTTTCACTTAGGTTGGAGTTTTATCTTTCAAATGAGCTGGCTTGGATCTCCTATCCATCTTTACAGCCTGCGAGCTGTATTACTTTTCTTTCCTTAAATCATAATCCTAGTGTATTTGTACAGTCAGTGTCTTTTGGAATTCATTAAACTCAGGTTCTAACACTTTTATTACCTTGAATGATTCTTTTTGCCAGTTTAGATTTATACCATGTCTGTACTAGTACTAGTGTCTGTAAACTAGTAGTAGTACTAAGATCTAAATAATTTGTCCCAGTTTATAGATGGCTTTCTTATTCTTCTGCCCTTTTCCTCTGTTTCAGTATAGCCAATTTCTCCTTCATTGAAATCTTTACTCTAATTTTAGAGCTAGTTGCTACGAATATCAATTACATTTTCAGTGCCCTCGATATTGTCCAAAAGTCTTAACATAAATTTGACCAGGCATTTGTAGTGTGTAAATTTTTATTTTTGGTTTTTACTTAGCAAATGATGGAGAAATTAAGCCATTAATTTAACATAGCAGGAACTATTCTAAATTTAAGAACATAATGGAGAATAAACATAAAATTTGTCTTCATAGAACTCACAGGCTAGCTGGTCAGATTCCTAGGGCATTTGGAAAGAATAAGTAGGTGCTTTGAGACAGCAGATAAATTATACTATAGTACCATGTTGGAGGCAGGAACCTGGGTTTTATTTTTCTTTCTCAATCTCTCTCTTTTAAACATTCCATTTGTTCATTTACTCTGATCTGTGTGGAGATCAGAGGACATTTTGTGGGAATTGGTTCTCACCTTCCCTCATGTGGGTTCTGTCATCTTTGACAGCCAGAGCCTTTTTCTGCACTATTGACTCAGCTTGGTTACTTTCTTTGTTGCTCTGACCATGTGCTTTAGCAGGAAACAACTTCAAGGGGGTGTGATCTTAATTTTTTTGCTCGTGGTTAAAGGGTACAGTCCATCATAGCAGGGAAGGAGTGGTTATGGGGATGGAATGTTAGACATTTGGTTATATTATCTCTACAGTCTAGGAGCAGATTGCTGGCTTTCTCCTTCCCTCTTTTAATCATTGTGAGTCCCCAGGCAGAGGAATGGTGTCCCATCTGCTTCAGGGTGGGTCTTTTTCCTTGGTTAATCCTTTTTGGAAACATCTTTATAAGCAAGCACTAGGGATGCTTCTAGAGATACTAAATTCAGTCAGGTTGTTTATGAAGATTAACACCCCTTGTGAACTTGACACCCACATGGTCACATTAGACTGAAATACAATGTAAGTTCACAGTCTTTTGCTGTGACAAAATACCCCAGATAATCAACCTGAGGAGAAACCATTTGCTTTGGTTCATGTTTTCAGAGGCTTCGGTTCTTGGTTTATCTTAGGGCCTGTGGGGAGAACAGACTTCATGATGCTGACCATGGTGGAGTGAAGCCAAGCCACTCAGCTTGGGGGACTTAGAGCAGAAAGGGAGAGGACTGGGCAGGAGACCCAGTTTTCCTTTTATGGGGACATTCTACATTTATAGTTATTTGACTTAACATCCACCTAAACTAAGCCTTACCCGTAAAGGTTCTATAACTTCCAAGCAACCTCACAAACTGGGAATCTAAGTCTTCAACATACAGGTTTTGGGGACATTTAAGATTCAAACCACAACAGAGACAATTCATTTATGGATCTAGCACATCCATAGGAATTGATAACTGAGGTGTGATTAAAAAAAGTCAGGAAAATGTTTGAGTATAGAAAACTAAATAAAGGAAGGTAAAAGTGCTAAAAACTTAAGAACCTGAAGTTAGGAGGTTAAAGGTGACCTCGGAGAGTTATTTTAAGTTGTGTGATTAGTTCAAAGAGTGGAAACAGCTAATATTATGAACTATATAATTCTAACACAGTTACTTTCTCATCATTTCTAGATCAGTATACACAGATGATTGCTTTTGTTCAGTTTTAACAGTGTCACCAGAAACCCTTCATGGAACCTTATTAATGTGTTGAGGGATCTCTCTCTCTCTCTCTCTCTCTCTCTCTCTCTTTCTCTCTCTCTCTCAGGGATTTCTCTCTTCAGAAGCATGTTTATTTGGACTTTCTGTCAGACATTTGCAATTTTCTCTTTTTTATACAAATGTTCAGTACCTTATCTTTTTAGAAAACACTTTTACTATTATACACTGTCACATGAATAAAGGCGTGTGTTCTGAAGAATTGTTTTATTTTGTTATTTTCATTTTTAGAGAAAGGTCTTATTACGTGTCTCAGGTTGACCTTAAACTCATGTTCTTCCTTCAGTTTCCTGTGTGCCAAAGTTAGAGGCACACACTAACACACTTGACCTAAATAAATGTTTCTGAAAGCTTACTTTCTATAGTACTTTGGAGTTAAGGATCTGGGAGAGAGGGTCTCACTTTGAATTTACTAAGATTTAGGATAGAGCACTGGGTCAGTTCTCAACAGCACTACTTTGTTGGCACCTAACTCAGAAATTTTTTAATCTTAAAACTATGCTTGCTTATTTTGAGTTAAAACAGCTTCACATGTAGGTGAAGATCCTGTGACCCTCCAAAATGTCATGACCGTAGGCATGTTCCACCACACTTGGCTTTTTATCTATCATTTTACTAGAAAATGTAACATGCTTTAATAGCTCACTTTAAAAATTGTATTTAAGAATCAAGATTTAGCTGGGTGGTGGTGGTTCATGCCTTTAATCCAATCACTCGGGAGGCAGAGACCTGAGTTTGAGTTCAAGGCCATCCTGTGTCCCTGATAACTAGTTCTACACAAAGAAAACTGGAGGGGGCAGGGGTGTAGTGGCTGGAGAAAGAATTGTTAAATAGAGTCCCATTCCCATGTTGAATCGTCCATTTAGAATTTTGGTGCAGGTCTGCTCCTCCTTTACTTTTGAAATAAGTTGTAGATTTATTTATGTATTTAGCTTTTTGAGATAGGGTTTTACTATGTAACAGCCTTGGCTGTCTTAGAATTAGTGCTGTATACCAGGCTGGTCTGGAACTCAGAGGTTCGCCTGCCTCAGCCTCCCAAGTGCTGGGACTAAAGGTGTGCACTACCACTGCCCAGTTTATTTTTAATTATGTATATGGGTGGAACAGGTTGTGCACATGAGTGCAGTGTTCACAGAGGCCAGAGAGGTGTGTCAGATCCCTAGAACTGTAGTTGCAGGCAATTGTGAGTTGCTTGGCGTGGGTACTTGGAAACGAATGTTCTCTTAAGCTTGGATCCATCTCCCCTATTCTATTTTCCTTCTCCACCATCCAATTAAACTCTTGTGAAAACTGATGGATTTCTTTTTTATTCTGTTTCTTTTTTTTAACTATAAACAAATGACCCTAATTTTCGAGATTATATTGGCAATTTCTGATGGAGGACAGATGATTTTTTTAAAATTGAAAATAGTTTTTTTTTTTTAATATACTATATAGTAAGATCATGGTTTACCCTTCCCAATACCATGATTTCCCTAGAAATCTGCTGTTATCTGGATGTTGTGGCACATATCACTCCTGTGTTTAGAAGGCAGAGGCAGCCTTATATTTACATAATGAATTCTAGGTCTATCCCCCCTCCATTTTTTTTGAGCATTATTTGCTATGTATGTAAAATAAAATGTCAGAAATTAAACTTTCTTTAGATCCTTTATGATCATTTTTGTTATAGATGATACTCTGTAAGTTATTAATACTCTTTTGTTTGGATTTATTTACAGCATAAATGAAGGTAAGTTTAATGAATAGTCAAGTTTTATGAGTTAAGTAAGGACAAAGAAATTAAAGGAACTGGATATGAGGTAGTTAAAAGCAAATATGTCAGAGATGAGAGGAAAATATGTCGCACCAGATGGAAGAATATGGTTGTAATAACACACTTTTCTTTAGTACAGTGAATGTGTATATTCAGACCACAGGCTAGGTTTTGCACTCTATTTAGCCATAGTGATTTATTTTTACTTAGATATACAGGGTTTTGCTATATTCTCCGGCTATCCAGAAATTTACTATGACTCTAATCGGCTTTTATCTCATGGTCTTCTTAATTAGCCTTCCAAGTCTATAGGCATACACTACATCTCATGTTTGTTAGGTGTACCTAGTTAATATATCATTTTGTAAAATATTCTCTCCTTACAGACTAGATA